TTGACGCAAACACTCCAGCCCAGCAGGTGGCCGCAAATCAACTAAAGTTAATCTATCTTCCATGAAGAAGATGCAAAAGTATGGTGAACAGTGAAATAAGAATAAACCAATCAACTATCAAGTTGATTACTAAGTATAATAGGAGTATAATTAGGAGAAAAAAAACATTTGTTGTGGACTTTTTCATCATTTCAAAGTGCTGAACATTATGTACAGGGGTTGGACAAAAAAACTGAAACACCTCTCATTTTAGTGTGGGAGGTTTCATGGCTAAATTGGACCAGCCTGGTGGCCAATCTTCATTAATTGCACATTGAACCAATAAGAGCAGACTGTGAAGGTCCATTTAGCAGGGTAAGAGCACATTTTTGCTCAAAATATTGCAACGCACACAACATTATGGGTGACATAGCAGAGTTCAAAAGAGGACCAATTGTTGGTGCACGTCTTGCTGGCACATCTGTGACCAAGACAGCAAGTCTTTGTGATGTATCAAGAGCCACAGTATCCAGGGTAATGTCAGCATACCACCAAGAAGGACGAACCACATCCAACAGGATTAACGGTGGACGCAAGAGGAAGCTGTCTGAAAGGGATGTTCGGGTGCTAACCCGGATTGTATCCAAAAAACATAAAACCAGGGCTGCCCAAATCACGGCAGAATTAAATGTGCACCTCAACTCTCCTGTTTCCACCAAAACTGTCCGCCGGGAGCTCCACAGGGTCAATATACACGGCCGCGCTGCTATAGCCAAACCTTTGGTCACTCGTGCCAGTGCCAAACGTCGGTTTCAATGGTGCAAGCCGCGCAAATCTTGGGATGTGGACAATGTGAAACATGTATTGTTCTCTGATGAGTCCGCCTTTACCGTTTTCCCCACATCCGGGAGAGTTACGGTGTGGAGAAGAAAGAAGCGTACCACCCAGACTGTTGCATGCCCAGAGTGAAGCATGGGGGTGGATCAGCGATGGTTTGGGCTGCCGTATCATGGCATTCCCTTGGCCCCATACTTGTGCTAGATGGGCGTGTCACTACCAAGGCATACCGAACCATTCTGGAGGACCATGTGCATCCAATGGTTCAAACACTGTATCCTGAAGGAGGTGCCGTGTATCAGGATGACAATGCACCAATACACACAGCAAAACTGGTGAAACATTGGTTTGATGAACATGAAAGTGATGTTGAACATCTCCTATGGCCTGCACAGTCACCAGATCTAAATATTATTGAGCCACTTTGGAGTGTTTTGGAGGAGTGAGTCAGGAATCATTTTCCTCCACCAGCATCACGTCGTGACCTGGCCACTATCCTGCAAGAAGAATGGCTTAAAATCCCTCTGAGCACTGTGCAGGACTTGTATATGTCATTCCCAAGACGAATTGACGCTGTATTGGCCACAAAAGGAGGACCTACACCATACTAATAAAGTATTGTGGTCCAAAACCAGGTGTTTCAGTTTCATTGTCCAATCCCTGTATCTGCACTGTTCTGAGACGATTTTGGGGCTTTGGCCATCACATATTCTGTCAAATAATGCTTCACATGAATTTTGTTAATGACCAAATCAGCAAAATATTTGACCATGGGGACCTCAAAAGAGGATATTTAAAACCTAAGATGTAAAAAGATTAACAAAACAACACAGTGTCTGTACATTATATGCAATGGGCTGACTGAAAACCAAAACTACTGTGGAGAAAGTAGTTAAAGCAGGATTTATTTATCTTTTTTTGCTTTTTTGGACGTGACCAATTCAAACAGATGATGATAACTGAATTAATGTCTGTGTGTTGCCATCTGCTCAGATTTTTAAAAAATATTCTATTTAGTTGTGTTCTTATTGTGTGTTGTCTGTGTATTTTCCACCTTTGGGATACTCCCACAATGTCGTCCATGGCTGCACTTTGACTCTCGCCCTGCTCTCATTCCTGAAACTTTGCCTCGATTAAAGTCTTCCCTTCTTTCGCTGGATCACTTTTCTTGTACTTTCACACAGAACAGGGGACAAGACAACAATGTTAAGTATCTCAAGGCCACGTCGGAGTAGAGGAAGATAAAAACTCAAGTTCCCAGGCGCTGCTCACAGTACCAAGTGCAGCATCCCTGTCTCGCCACTCCTGTCTCCTCCTCCCGCCCGGCCCCAAGGACCAACCATTCGTTGTCTTTTGTTTGCCGCGCGCCTAACAAATCGAACTTGATTTCTTTGTAGACTGACCACATTGCTCATCCAACATGTCCTTTGCACTCTTTGCCATGGCAATGCTTTTTGGCTTTTCAGTGGTGACTCCATTTGTCATTCATCCATCCAGAGAAGAACCAGCAGCTTCAGCTGATTCCACAGTTTCTCATCACAGGTCAGTTTTTTCTACAATAAGAAATGTTTTGTTGTGCGTCCGTTGTGTGTCATTTGGTAAAATGACAAAAAAAATCACAAGAATATTACTTAATTGCATTATTTTTGCTGAATTATGTGATGTGATTTTTCCATCACAGGTCAGTTTTAACAGTTGTATTTATTTATTTATTTTTTACTGTGAATTAAGGTTTCTTTTATTGCTCTTTTATGTATTATCGGTCATTTGTCAAGCTTAACATTAAAAAAAAAAAGACATGATCAATTGTAAAGTCTGTGCTGAAGCATGTGTGGTATCTGTGGAGTTTAAACATCGATAAGAAGTGCTTCCTGAGGGCAATCAGGGAATCAAAAGCATCATTAAAGCTCACTATCCATTTTCGATTGATTGGCATGTAATAAATGTGACATAATTTGTAAAGATTCTGTGAGTTAGGCTGTTTTTTTTTTTTGTCCACTGGGTGTCAATTCAGCTACTTCATCCATTCACATTGTATTTTTTGCTCAGGCACCAGGATGAGTCTCTGTGGTCCATCAGGAAGAGCCTCCTCAGGGCTCTCAACATGCAGATGGAGCCCCGGCTGCCGGCCGGTGGGCTGGACAGCGTCCGGCAGCAATGGCAGAAAACCTTTCGCGCCATCCCTCAAACTTCACAGGACACAAACAGTGAGTGGGATCCAAACGGCCGGCCCTACGCTCATTCAGTGGGAATCAGTCCACAGTTAACTCCAGCTAAAGTTCACAATGTCCCTCTTGCTGCAGCTGCCTCTGGCTACTCTGTGTCCCCTGACAGTGGAAACAGTACCAGCCTGAAGTGCTGCTCCACGGCCTCTGAGATCTTCATGAAAGGTATGCAACATTGTGTATTTAGATTATCTTCTGGGTAAAAGAACAAGAGTGACCCCTTGTCTTCTTTGCAGATCTGGGCTGGGACAGCTGGGTGATCCACCCTTTGAGTCTGACCATTGTTCAGTGTGCGCTGTGCCAATCTGCAGATAACACTGTGCACCATGCACCATCGGTCAACAGCATTCAGGATGGAAATTCACAGGTATGAATTTTTCTAGTTCTTCAATTGACTCACTGAAATTTCCAGTCTTCCTTTACTGATAGATATTGTCCGACCTACATCATCCACAGATGATTTATTCTGCTTAACTGACTATAAATATTCCCCCCAGAGTGCAATATTTTCATCTGCCTTTGGGGTAAAAATTAACGTTATCATATGAAATGTTATTAAAAGGGAAAATGTATTGGCCTGGGTGTGTTTCAAAGACGAGCCCGTTCTGTCCTGGTTCCTGCCAACACATGCCCTCTCCGCATACCTCTGCGGCCCACAAAGTGAACCACGCCGAAGGCCTGTTGCGACAGGGCTGTGTTACAGGAATGGAATTTAATACGTGCGATTTTTTTTTATTCAATCACTTTAAGCAACTGTTAGCAACTGAGTTCATTTTTCTGTTACTTTGTACAGGACATTTATAGATAAGTGTGGATAGCGTGTTGCCATTTCCAAAGCACACCTTCATTTCATAAACTTGGGAACTTGAGAAGAATTTGGTAACCATAAACTTAAAGTAAAACATTTCCAGATACAAACTAATTTTGGCATATAATGATCTTTCTGTGTAGTTTAGCTTGTTTTTAGCTGGATGAGCATCCTCTGACTCCCTCTCCTGATCTCCCTCAGGCCCCGTGCTGCCAGCCCACCTCCCAGGGGACGGTGCCCATCGTCTACATGGATGAAACCAGCACCGTTGTGATTTCTGACCTGCAGCTGACTCGCAGCTGTGGCTGTGGACCCGGCACCACCCACCAGCCCGACAAAGAGTAGCCGAACAGCTACCCCGTTTGACATGAGCCACCTAAAGTATCCAAACTATCGTTATGTACAGGCTATCTCCTCCAGCAATCACTCACTCTGATGATTGTGTCTCTATCTTTGATCGACACTCTGTGTTTTCAGAACTTATCGTGGGAACCAAAGCAAAGTCTCGGTTTTGAATTCCCACCGTACCAATAACACCTTTGTTTAGCCTGGCAGACATGGAACACAGCACACCTCATTGGTAACCTACATCTATGTGCCTGTATTAACCAACAAACAAGGTCAGACAAAAAAATGATTTTTTTATATGGAGGAAAATTCAACTTCTCTGGCAGCATGTGAAATGTTTTAGCTGACATTAGTGTGATAAATGGCCTCTCCTTCAATAAATCGAATGAGGACAGGTCACTATTTATAGCTGGTAACGGTTACTGAGTGTTCCCTCCAAAAATGTGAGACTTCTCTGTGCCAAACAGTCTCACACCAGTTGACTCTTCTCTGATGTGTTATCCCCTTAAGGCATTTAATGGGTAAGACTTCCATTTACTCTTTGGAGGAAAGCAAGACACAGTTAATTAGCTTGTAAATTATGCGGAGGCTTGTCGTTTTAAAGCTTCAATGAATGTGAGCTGAAATGAACTAGTGGTGAGTTTATGGATTTAGGAAAAGTAGCAGACCTTGGAAAAACAGCAGATTGTAGACCTCAGTGACTTTGCCAAATCTGATGTAACACATAGGCTGAAGAAATATGGCATCCAGTTAAGCTGTTTTATGATTTCATGACCTTGGAATAAAGAGTTTGGCACCAGTTGTGTTAAAAATGGACTGATGTGACATGTGTTTCTGTCGTAGAAGAAACTATTTTCCTTTATTAGACTTTTAACGACAGTTATCATTTCATTTCTGAGATTTTTTTTTTAATGAGAGACTGTTTTTAATCAATTTCATTTTCATTTAGCCTCCTAAAAAGTGTCTCAGCTCAGTTTTTTTTCTCTGGTTGTGCATTAATAGAAAATCTTTAGTTTATGATCAGAAATAGATTGTTATAGTAATTATTTTTGTACTTTTTTATGTCAGTTCTTTTGTTAATTTCTTTTAATGTTTATTTGACACATTTTGTTATCTTTTAGCTATTTCCACTCACTTTATAGTTGTTATACAGCATTTGCCATTCTTTTTTCTTAATTGTTATACTGTTCAGTTGAATTTGCGCATATATTACAATTATTAATGCCTGTTTAGCCATCTCAATCACTTGTACCAGTATAATTCATTTCAATAAAGATTTAAATCAGCTTGTTTGTATTTTTCTTCTAAGAACAGCTTTTATATTATAATCTCAGTGTATTGTTCTGCGGAATTACATTTAAACGTGCACCGTGTAGGAATTTCTCCCATTTAAAGGTGAAATTGTATTTTGAACTCTAACAAATGGTGCTCTCTAGTGCCTTGCATTTTCAATGGGGAATTGCAACTACGGTAGCCGTCATGCATCAAGAAGTGATGACAACATGACTTCAACATCAGCGAGTTTTCTCTCAGGTGATGAGGTTTGTAATACATTTTTTTTTAAATTAATTAATGGAATTAATCTAAAAAATCATTAAAATAAATTTCAGTTACGTGGCTCTGGCTCTGAACGGTGGGGGGAGGACCAGTGCTGGATATTTTTAGGCCAAAAACCCAGCTCTATGAATCATCCCACAGACTGTTTAAGCGCACTTCAGTGACACGTCAAGAGATTACAGCTTCAAAACAAACACAAGACGTGGATTAAAGACTCCACAGAAGGGACGTTTGCTATCCTTCATTGATATAAAGTTTTACAGCAGGAGTTGAGCAAAATGCAGAGACATCACAAAGAGGTTTCTGTATGACAGTTTAGCATGACTGTGGCATTGTGCGGTATGCAGCTAAAATTGCCATAACATGTTTATTAATATTTCCTTAAATACTAAGTTCTTGATGAATTTGGAATAATAACACGTCAAATTATTACAAAATAAAATTGCATGGCAATAAAAGAGGCAGAAATGAAGGATATTTTATTTCATTCCACTCACTGTGCAGTAAGACAACAGATCACATGTTTTAATTCAGAATTTGTCCTGTAACAACTGCAAAACTCCCTTCATCATGCATGTGTTGAAATAAATGTCCTCTGCCATGTCCGCTCTTAATTCTTTTTTCGAATCACTCATCGGCGTATCAGGGCTCTCTGTGATCCCAGCCATTTGGCAGGTGGAAGTGGTGGGAGATGTCTGGGATTCAAGGACACAGAGATGCAGTATCCCACACTGACCTCCGGTGTGAGTTTGCACCTGTCTGTCTGTGTGTGTGTGGGTGGGCACACACTCTTGCTATGGGGACCGCAATCCTTAAAAACACAGTCATTTTAGGGGACAATGCCCATCCTATGTTCGTTTCTGTAAAATAAGTCGGTTGTGAATGGGATGACTTCACATTAGCATGATTTCAATAATCAACAAAAGTACATTTTTATAAAACTACTGAGGAAATTCAACATGGATCAGACACGCTGGACTGATTTAATTCAACTGAAGTTAATACACAAGGGAGAATAATACTTAATCTAAAACAGACACTTGTTTTGGCGGGGAAATGATCATTGACAGCAATGACAGATGTGATGTGTGACCACAAAGAGGGAGCTGAGAGAGAGGCCCGCCTTTAGGGAATATTCTGACCTAATGTGAGGGATCATCTGTCCAGAAGTGTCCAGAGTGTAAACAATTCCCTTTAATATCCTGAGATGGCACTAGGTAGATAATAGCTTTGTGTTAATTCCCAGCTAAACCAGGTAACAAGAAAACACAGACAAAGAGTCCTAAAACCTGGAAAAGATGATGCAAAATATTCTTTAGCCAATGACCTTTTCTGCACACTCATTTATGAGCGGACATTGTACAAAGTACTTGTTTAACTACTAACGCCACAGGCTTTATTCTTTAATGTGAGCATGTGTTGACAATCATCTCACCTTGTAAAAATATCTGAGGTACTCAGTGTTGCCAGCACTGAGAAGCTGGCATTACAGAATGAGGCCATGAAGCTCCAGACAAGAGATCTACGGAGCTGCTGAGACGTGTTTGGCATCTTATGCAACAACATGCCGCATATTTCCCCGGTGATAACATTAAAAAAAATAAGAAAAAGTAAGATGACAAGAGATATGACAAAAATCGGACTCCGATTGCAGATGGAGGCAGTGTAAATGTTTGCTTTGTGCATGCATGGCCTCCTCCCACAGGCCAAAAACATGCCAGTTTGAATATTAGCTGTTAGCTTAAATTAGCTGTTGGTCTGGAAATGTTCCACAGAGGGCTCATAATTTGGGTTGGCTTTGCATTTTGTTGTCGTTATATGGAGTCCTTTGCATACTTTTGTATCTTAAGGTCAAATATGACGTTTCCATCAAACAATCTGTCTAAAAATGGAAGCATACAGCAGAATGATAGCGCCACATCATTACTGAAATAACCCCAAAACTCCACACACTTGCAAAGTAGCGTACATAACCTGGAGGTCACCTTACGATGTTAGCCATAGAAATAAAAAGATTGCAGGTTTTGTTTCAGCTTGTTTCGAGCAGCTCCGGGACTGTAAATGAATTATACTTTGATATCTTTAGCAGCAGATAAGCCGTCCCATTTTGGGCCTCTGAGAAAGTTTTGGTGGGAGTCAGTTTATGTATGAGGATTTGATGAAAAGGCACGGAGCTATCATTCCGTACAAGCTTAAAACCCTCTCTGGCCCAAAAAACTCTGAACTCTGCCAAGCTTTTTTTGTACCCCCGGCTTTCAGATAGTAGCATCACCTGCACCACTATTCTGTTTTTTGTTACATTTTATCCCCCAAGTTCCTGTCCTTGAAAAACCAGTGGAGAGGAATAATGTTGTTATTGTGTTTAACAGGAAGGATTTATGCCTTTTAATGTCAAGCTAGGGTTTGACAGGGTAATAAAAGCAGATTTTAGTTTCATTTTTAAGAATTGATGGGCGGATTATCTTAAATAAGTTTGTTGACTTGCTGTGAAAGCAGAGTAGTCTTTTTTGGCCGGATCCCAAAGTGTTCAGAGGGGCCAAAAATGTCAGGGTGAGTGCGTTGCTATTATACACCTGCACATTCCTGCACAGCAAAAGCTGCACATTCTTGTTCCCCAAAACACACAAAAGAAGAACAGCCAAACAGTACAACCAAGCACCAAAACCCCCAAACAAGACTTTTACCAAAGAGAAATAACTGAAGAATTTTAGAAAACACAAAGCGAAAACAGATAATGATGCCCGTTTTCGCTTTTGTTTTATGAGGTTTTTTTGTATGTGTTCTGTGAATAAAAAATACATAAAAATACATTTTGTAGCATTTCTTAAGAATAAAGCAGATCTGAAATCTATCATACGCTTCTCTCTGGAGTTGGGACTTTCATTAAAAGACCCTTGGGGCTGGTGATAATTGAGATGAATGTAAATAACAGAAAAAATAACACTTTAACATACTGATAACATTGACGCAAACACTCCAGCCCAGCAGGTGGCCGCAAATCAACTAAAGTTAATCTATCTTCCATGAAGAAGATGCAAAAGTATGGTGAACAGTGAAATAAGAATAAACCAATCAACTATCAAGTTGATTACTAAGTATAATAGGAGTATAATTAGGAGAAAAAAAACATTTGTTGTGGACTTTTTCATCATTTCAAAGTGCTGAACATTATGTACAGGGGTTGGACAAAAAAACTGAAACACCTCTCATTTTAGTGTGGGAGGTTTCATGGCTAAATTGGACCAGCCTGGTGGCCAATCTTCATTAATTGCACATTGAACCAATAAGAGCAGACTGTGAAGGTCCATTTAGCAGGGTAAGAGCACATTTTTGCTCAAAATATTGCAACGCACACAACATTATGGGTGACATAGCAGAGTTCAAAAGAGGACCAATTGTTGGTGCACGTCTTGCTGGCACATCTGTGACCAAGACAGCAAGTCTTTGTGATGTATCAAGAGCCACAGTATCCAGGGTAATGTCAGCATACCACCAAGAAGGACGAACCACATCCAACAGGATTAACGGTGGACGCAAGAGGAAGCTGTCTGAAAGGGATGTTCGGGTGCTAACCCGGATTGTATCCAAAAAACATAAAACCAGGGCTGCCCAAATCACGGCAGAATTAAATGTGCACCTCAACTCTCCTGTTTCCACCAAAACTGTCCGCCGGGAGCTCCACAGGGTCAATATACACGGCCGCGCTGCTATAGCCAAACCTTTGGTCACTCGTGCCAGTGCCAAACGTCGGTTTCAATGGTGCAAGCCGCGCAAATCTTGGGATGTGGACAATGTGAAACATGTATTGTTCTCTGATGAGTCCGCCTTTACCGTTTTCCCCACATCCGGGAGAGTTACGGTGTGGAGAAGAAAGAAGCGTACCACCCAGACTGTTGCATGCCCAGAGTGAAGCATGGGGGTGGATCAGCGATGGTTTGGGCTGCCGTATCATGGCATTCCCTTGGCCCCATACTTGTGCTAGATGGGCGTGTCACTACCAAGGCATACCGAACCATTCTGGAGGACCATGTGCATCCAATGGTTCAAACACTGTATCCTGAAGGAGGTGCCGTGTATCAGGATGACAATGCACCAATACACACAGCAAAACTGGTGAAACATTGGTTTGATGAACATGAAAGTGATGTTGAACATCTCCTATGGCCTGCACAGTCACCAGATCTAAATATTATTGAGCCACTTTGGAGTGTTTTGGAGGAGTGAGTCAGGAATCATTTTCCTCCACCAGCATCACGTCGTGACCTGGCCACTATCCTGCAAGAAGAATGGCTTAAAATCCCTCTGAGCACTGTGCAGGACTTGTATATGTCATTCCCAAGACGAATTGACGCTGTATTGGCCACAAAAGGAGGACCTACACCATACTAATAAAGTATTGTGGTCCAAAACCAGGTGTTTCAGTTTCATTGTCCAATCCCTGTATCTGCACTGTTCTGAGACGATTTTGGGGCTTTGGCCATCACATATTCTGTCAAATAATGCTTCACATGAATTTTGTTAATGACCAAATCAGCAAAATATTTGACCATGGGGACCTCAAAAGAGGATATTTAAAACCTAAGATGTAAAAAGATTAACAAAACAACACAGTGTCTGTACATTATATGCAATGGGCTGACTGAAAACCAAAACTACTGTGGAGAAAGTAGTTAAAGCAGGATTTATTTATCTTTTTTTGCTTTTTTGGACGTGACCAATTCAAACA